CTGTAGTAGATACTGGGCTGCAGGAAGCACAACTGAGGAATCTGGGGCTGGAGCCGTTGCAGGAGCCTGGCCTAGGGGGTAGTTGAAGTCACGGAACTGTGGTGGCGTGTGAGTAATTGGTGATTCAGAGAGGTCCTGAGATATGATGCCGTGAGGCGGGTGAATTGGGGGTCCCATGGTTCTGGATGGAGGGGCCGCAAAAGAGTCCATCGTGGGCGAAGGCGTCTGCGTCTTGGCGGCATCTTTCGAGCTTAACCGGCGCACCATGGACATGAGGTTATATTTGAACGAGCTTGTCCGAGAGTTGGACCTCGCCGGCGCCGGGAACTGCGCTTCATCGGCTTGCGGCGGTGTCACCATGCCAAAGTTCTCAGTGGGCTCCGTCGGGCTGTAGTAGCTCGCGCTCTGTCCGTTAATCACATCACTGTACTCCATGCCGTCGGCCCGCGTAGTGATGAGCTCAATGCCGCCAGGAGTGATGGGCACATGCCCTTGGGAGTTCCATGTCGGATTTTGGCCAAACGATGTGCCCGAGTGACGCCTTTCGACAACTTGGTTTCGTTCGACGACTAGATGGTCTGAAAGCCCGCGTTGATGCAGCGCCGAGGTTCCATCGCGGCTTAGGTGCTCCGGACCATTGTCAGCATTTAGGTCCAGCTCCTTGCTGGACTGTCGACCAGGGCCGCCAAATGGGTCTTCCTTGTGCGATAATGAGTCTCTTGAAGAGTGTTGCGTGGCCGGCCTATGTGCGTGTGGTTCTTGGCCAGCGGCAGTCTCAGTCACGGGGGCGTGGTTCGCTTCAGCATCGGAAGTCGCAAGGCTGGCCTGGTGCTGCTGTTTCTTGGCCTTGATGCGACGAATAATAAAAGGCCAGAAGCAGAGGCAGACAAGCGAAACAGCAACGCATACGCCGACAACGACGCCAGCGATGCCACCTTTGTCCAGAGCGCGGGGTGCAATCGTTGAGTGGCGAGCGATGCGTTCAGCACGCAGACCCAGTGTGTCGAAGGTCGAGTGTTCCGATTGATCCAATGGTAATTCAGTTGCTGGTGAGGTGCCCTCCTGGTCGTCTTCGTCTGACAGAGACATGGCGACGATGCCATCAGACGAGGTCGTGGGAGGGGCCATGCTAGGCTCGCCTGCTGTTATGACCTTCCCCTCCACATGAAATTGATCCAATTCGAGATGCCGAATGAGGCGTGGGCGTGAGCGATTAGGCAGGCGTGTGTCCAGGGAAAGGCGGTCAGGCAGGTCGAGTCGCACGTGCAATGATAGCGACTGGACTAGCGAAATGTTCTGTCGCTCCGCGCAGATGGATTGGGCTGGATGAGTGATGAGTTTGTTCGCCGGAATGGCGATGAGCCAGCACGCAGAAGATGGTGTTCGGTTGAGAAGTGAGGTCCGCGTCACGAACTGGGCTGGGGGCGGTTTGGGACTTTACCAACGCCTGCCCGCCCTGCCGCCTCAGCCTCACAAGTCCCGCGCCGCACCGAGCGTCCGTATGAAAAAGAGGGGGGCTGTGCAGGCACGCGCGACGGCATTGGCTGCCTCCGTCACGAGAGAGGTCGGGGGGGGATGGAGAAGTACATGGGATTTACGTGGGGCAGCCACAACCACCCTGGTACCCACTAACAACGCCTGCGTAACTTTCCCCCAGATCCTGTCCAACGAGCCACAATGGAACACTCTCTGTGGCTGCGCCTTCACAAGCAAGATTAGTACCCTGGCTGATGTCATGGCACAAACGTCGCAACATACAACAATCTGCACAGGGAAAAAAGGACGGGGAATGGATTTCGGTTTGTGCCCTGATGGGACTTTTGAGACGACAGTGTCCGCACTTTTGACAGAGCATAATTTGCCGATAGGTTCCTCTGCATCCATGGTACCGTGCCGAGGCGAAGCATATGCCCTGGAGGAGAATGGCTGTTGGCGCTGTTATCCGAGTGCAACGTAACCAGCTCGTACTGAGCGCTCCGTATTTCCCCCCTGGGCTGGTACTCAGTCATTCGTCGACTTGTGCCATACTTGCACCCAAAGAATAGGTTGCGCCATCTGCTGGCTATTCATCATCCCTCCAAACTTGAAAAGATATCTATCCCCAAATAGCAAAGCATCCAGTAATGCACTTCTTCTCCAGGAGTGTCCAAATAACTTATATACAGATACAGAGTGCGTTCGACTGAGCATGCCCACTGTCCCTCGTCGATATTTGCCATTCGTTAGCCTTTCTGGCCATCAGAGGCCGGACGGCAGGCTCAGCCACATCTTGAAAATTTGATCTCTAGAAGTCACCTACAGTAGGTACCAAATAACAGGCCACAAAACACGAAAGCTTACCAGGTAAACCCGCATGTGCGGCATTGTTGTCCCCAGTGCATCTGGTACAATGTCCAAGTCCATACGACATTCAGAATCAAAGTCGCACCGCCCTCTACCATATTCGACATATGCCTCGAGTAATGCAGTAGTGTATTCTAGCCGCTTGCCAACCTTTCCTGGCCTGTGGGCATCATGTTAGTGCTGTGCGCTGCTAATTCGTCTTTAGTACGTTGACTGAGGCAATGTCGCGATTCGCCAAAAGGTATTAGGACGACATGGACGCATTTCGCGTCGCGCACCTCTCATTTGCCAAAGTAATATCTCAAGCCTGGTTCAGTCAAGCTGAGCTGGTGGGGGCGCTTTATATCGTAATGGTCTTTAAATTTAAGACGCAGTTCCATGCCCCAAGCCGTATGATGTATGATGATCGCTTGGTCCCCGACGGCAGTGGCCGCAGTCATGCACCACATGCATCAGAATATGGTCGAACACTCCCGACTTTCTGTCGAATGTATAATCACTGCTGTAAAACATGTTAAGGCTAAGACGAAGCCGAGAGCCCCGCGTAGTCAATATTTCATGATCAGGACCTGGACCAGCATTGCACAGGAGAAGCAAAGCCTTCTGCGTAAGATTTCCCAGATGGGCCTTGTTAAAGCCCATTTTTTGGATTTAAAGGCTCTAACCTTAGTAAAGCCTTCCAAAATAACCACGCGGGAGAGACTGCCACATTGATGCAGCTTACGAAGTCAGTACGACGACAGTCTATGAAATGGCAGAACCGAGGGAACAAACATGAGCCGCATCGTCACGACGAAGAAGTGTCATGCGATTTTCCTTGTCACAACAATTGCCAGTAGATCCGAGCTTGGTATATTCAAACCTCCACAAAATCGTCTGTAAGTCCATGAAGAAGCAGGAGCAGGCTAATAGCGGTAGTAAATGGAGCTCGCCGTTTCCAGGCGCCACGGAGTGGTCGTATACACATTACTTGATCATGTAAAGACTGCACTTGCCCTTCCCTGCCCTTCCCCTGCCTTCCCTTGCCCTTCCCTGCCTTCCCCTTGCCCCTTCCCTGCCTTCCCTTGCCCTTCCCCTGCCCTTCCCTGCCCTTCCCTTGCCCTTCCCTGCCTTCCTTGCCTTCCCTGCCTTCCCTTGCCCTTCCCTGCCTTCCCTTGCCCTTCCCTGCCTTCCCTTGCCCTTCCCCGCCTTCCCTTGCCCTTCCCTGCCCTTCCCTGTCCTTTGGTTCCTGTCGATGGTCGGCAAGCACACTGGACGAGCTGTTTCAGTGCGTGGAGGACGGAGAGGCTGGCACCAGTCGACAACCCGGCTTTTGGACTTCATGGAGGCACTGTACTTCGTTGTTAAGGGCGTGAATGTCAGCAGAGCAAAAGGGCCTTCATTAGCATTGGCACTATAGAAAACCTTCAGGTATTGAGCGGAAGTACATTCCAAGTATGACCTGCCGTAGCTGGAAAGGTCACCTGTAGCCCTCACATATGTGGCGCCGCAGACTTCGAGCCCAAGACAGCCGCGTAGGGTGCCCACTTCAAAGACCCTCGTTTATGTCGCCGGTAATGTAGGCAACGCAGTGTCTGATTGATCCAAGGGTCAACCCTCTGGACCTCGCTTACAAAAGGAATGTGATTCTGTTGCTAATCGATTGGTGATTTTCTCACGATCCCAATGATGTACATCGGTACAGACTTTCAGCAACCTCAACCCAGGCTTGTGTGCTCATGTGACTTATTCATATCCTGAGAAACCCGAGTGAGAAAGTTTTCAAGATCCATAGCCACCCCGAGCGGCGACGAGCGACATCGACTTGGAGCCTGACCCTATAACGACTTGGATGTTTACCTCGGTGCGTCGAAGAAATGCTAGAACAGAAAACATGGCCAGGCACATCGCGCCAGCCGCGTACTTACGATGGTGTTCTTGCCCCTTTTCGGCATTACGGGATATACAGGGTCTTGGCCACGACCAGCAACAGCTAGCAATTAGCGTTATTTTGCCTATTTCACGGCGTGCTCCCTCGCAATTCTCCGATGCCCCGTCACCAGCAACCTCGAGCACCAAATGCTTGTCGTGATAGAAACGCCACACCGTAGCAGTGCTGCTCGATCATGGCACCAAATTCTTTTTCTAAGACAGCTGGCTTTGGTGGAGGCAGCCGTGGCTTGGGCGTCAAATACTTGCAACTTTTGATGCCGTGTAACGGTGGCTCGCATGAGAGAATATGCGGGCTCGCTGGCGAAGCATCTGGCAGGCGGTCGTGCCACCGAGCCTGGTGATACGGTGGCGGCCTTGACAACGACACGTCTCGACTGCCTACTCGCGAAAGCTCAAGATGGCAAAGTCGCGGTGTGCGTTTTGTGCATGAGATCATGCCGATGGGTATAGAGGTGCGACGTGATGCGCATCGTGCCAGAAATGGGAGGCAACATGTCGGGACATTTTCCAGATCTCAGGGAGGCCCGCACATAAATGTTCTTCCTCGGTGTTGAGGGGGGAACCTGACGCCGGGCGACGTAACTCAACGCGAACGTACCGCAGCAAGAGGGAATGCTGTGACCCGACAAACTGGGCGGCATCGGTGATGTCGAAATTGGGCAAGGCGGTAGTTCCAGGTTGTGACACAAGATGTAGCTTTGGCCTTGGCAATTCCGATCTTTGCGTCGTTTTAGTCGAAATACTGATCCTTGGTGCATCCAGATATCAGAAACACGCGATGTCATACGACTGCCTTGACCACGCTTTACTCTGTGTTCCAACACATGTGCAAATGCTATGCAATATTCTCACACACCGAGCGTCTGTGTAATGTAGTCAGCTCTCACTGGACAAGGCTACCAGGGCTGGCCCCCTTAATCACCTTGCTGAAAGCGTCAACCAACATGATCTCTCAATGACCCTAGCAACCGTTGACATTGATCTTTGAGCACATGCTAAACGCGTCGCACATGCGTTCTTCATGGTAATTTTGAGAGAATCGCAGCAGTGCTAGCCGTGGTGGCAAGCCGTGCTACAAGCATATGACGGTTCTACATTCTAGTTAGCGAAGTAGTACGATGACCCAAAGACTCTGACTCGCCCTCGCTTTCGTTTGCTTTTGGCAGCAACACTGGCATCATGTTCTTCTACTACTCCACGAGACCTCGGTGGCCCGGACCGATTGGCAGCCGCCATGGGTGAGGATACCCAGGTCATGTAAAATTTCACGGCCCTCTGCGGAGGCGATTCCCTGGGTATGGCATGGGAAGAAGCTCGTTATGTCTCAGAAGGGCCATGATCTAGCCCGCAGGTGCAGAATGAGGACGGGAGTTGGACACAAGTCGTTCTGACAAGTGAATGCGGCTACGGAGATCGGGGTCGGATCCGACAGGCCCCACCATGACTTACAGTACACACCCCACCAAATTGTTTGAAGGGCCCCTGGCGAGACAGGAAGTCTCACCTGCAGAATGGTCGACGTCACTGGTCGTCATGTTCTGATGTTCTTGGCTGCCCCGAGCAGGATGACTGTGGGCAGGTGCGTTTTCCGGGTCGATAGGAAAGGGCATTCGGCGCGCGACAGATCTGAAGAGATCACACTCCGCATGTCGATGGCCGTGGCACTGTCATGGCCATGGACTGAGCCAATCATCAGAAGCAAAGGCCTAGGCGAGGCAGTGATGATGGGCGATTGGTAATGGTGATGGCAGATGTGCCTGCCGTCCAGGGGACTGGTGGCCGCTTGCACCTTCCACGCGCAGCAGAGGACCCTGGATTTCTGGCTGGTGGGAACGCCCCGCTGCTGGGCGCCCCAATCGCCCCCATCGCGCCCGTTGATTCGCCAGGAGATTCCGATCTGGCGACCCCGGACTGATCCTCTGCATCAGAGCCACCCCTGGTCCCGATCCCCAACCCAACATGGCCATCTCAAGTCGCAGCCCTCATCGTACCGCCACCTAGAATCCCATATTCGATCAAGACGTTTCTTAGCCCTCTTTCACAGAGGGCCTCGACCGCCGCCTCATCATGTGCCTTCTGCCGTGGCCACGGACCCGCAAAACCGCAGCACGAAGCATGCACCAGCTGTGCGGCCCGGGCGGACGACATGTGGTAGCCAGGGTTTAGCCATCGAGAAATCATTCCTTTCTCCAGTCCGCCACCTTTTTTTTTGCCAGCTATTTGCCTATTCTTTTCTCCTCCTGAACAACTGGTCATCGATTTGGTACCGGTATGCGCATTCCTTGTCTCAGATGCCCCTGGTCCCGCCCTTGCAAGCACCCTGACATCTCTCTACTATAGGTACTGAATGGTCCATCGAGCCTTGCGGCTGTTCATCCCACGAACTTCACCGAATACAGCGCCAGCGCACACTTGCTCAACTGACCGGTGGTTGACCAATTCTTGTTCAATCTGAACCGAACAGCCAGTAAGCCACCGGCTGGGCAACCCAAACTTTGCTTTTTCTTCTTGTCCGCACCGTCGTCCTCTTTCTCGCTGCCCGGACGATCTGATCCATCTCTGCTGGCCTACAAGAAGCCAACCCCATCCCGCGTTTTATCGGAGTGTACCGAGTAAGTAGTCGAGTCAGTTTCCAGCATCTTGCTTTGTCTTAAGCCTACGTGCCTAGCGCCGGCAACCAAAGCCCCGTTGCTACTCCATCGCTCGGTTGGCCTCCCCCCCTTGCATATAACTGAATCTCTCGTTTGTATGACCCTCACATTCATGACCTAGTGGCGTTCCAATCTACTCATTCGCCTCTACCCTTCTAGCGTCACAAGCTAACTCGGCAGAGACCCAGCCAGGCGGCACCCTTGACGCCCAGCATCAAGGCCCAGGATTTATCCTACATCTAAGCCATCTCCTCACCCGTCCTTATTTGTGCCTCCTCAGCACAGTCCTCCCTTACAGCTACCAGGCTGTTGCAATTCCTGTCGTCTCATTCTTGTACAATTACAACCTTGAATTTTCCACCGAGCGCGGCCAAGAAGACGAATCTCGACGCTATGCCTTCGTCAACGAATATCCTGATATATCTGCTTCGGCACGACTTGCGTGTGTCTGACAATCCCATTCTTCACCACTTGGCTACTAGCAAAGATCATGGCTTTACCCACCTTCTACCCGTCTACGTCTTCCCGGCGCATCAAATAGAAACTTCGGGGTTCATTCGCGATGGAAGTAAATCACCGTATCCAGAGGCCAGGAGTCAGGTCGGTAGCTTCTGGAGATGCGGCCCGCACCGCGCCAAGTTTATCGCACAATCCGTCTGGAACCTTCAGGAGTCTTTCCAGGGTCTTGGCAGCGGACTCTGTCTTCGTGCCGGCAGGTTTGACGACGTCTTGAATGGCCTTCTCAAGGGGCTTACCGAAAAACAGCAAACCATCGGCGCCGTTTGGATGACTCTGGAAGATGCGGTAGAGGAAAAAAGAGACGAGAAGGCTGTCTCCTCAATTTGCTCGGAGAACAATATCGAGTTCAAGCTGTGGCAAGACGAGAAGTACTTCGTTGACGAGTGCGTTGTGCTATTCTCTTTTTTCAAATTTTGGAACGTCGTACTAACATGAGTCTAGTCGCGACACCGAACTGGAGAATGCGCACGATTTACCTGACATTTTCACAACATACCGCAAAACTCAAGAACCTCTGAGGGAGCGGCCCAGGCCAACGTTGCCGAAGCCTAGTAACAACTCTCTGCCACCGTACCCCAGCGATGATGTGGTGCCTGTTCAAGAGAGGCCCTTTGAGATGCCTGTAACATACGAAGAACTCGAAGCGGCATTATTGAAGCCTGTCGAGGATGTGCTAGATGACGCTCCGGAATACCCGTCGAACGCCACTTCTGTACACCCGTTGAAGGGCGGTGAGTTGGATGCGCTCCAGCGCGTCAATCACCTGATCAAGTCTTGTTCTATGTCCAACTACAAAAACACCAGAAACGGCCTCTTGGGAGTTGACTTTAGCACCAAGCTATCTGGATACCTGGCTCTCGGTTGTCTCACGGCGAGGCAGGTGCACGAGGAGATGGTGAAATACGAGGACGGTCAAGGCCCCCAGTACAAGGAAATTGACGGTTTCGGCAATGGCGAGAATGAAGGCACCAAAGCTGTCCGATTTGAACTCCTCTGGCGTGACTATATGCGTCTTTGCACAAGGAAGTTCGGACATCGCCTGTTCCGCGCCGAGGGATTCCGGGACGATCGGAAGCCGACCCAGTGGAAGACGGCAAAGCAGCCAGAAATTGCGGAGATTCTCAAGCGCTTCCTCGCTGGTACGACAGGCATGGGATTTATCGATGCGTCTCAGCGTGAGCTTCTGCACACTGGGTACACCTCGAACCGCGCACGGCAAAATGTGGCAAGCTTTTTAGCCAAACACTTGGGGATCGACTGGCGATATGGTGCAGAATGGTACGAGTGCATGCTGATCGACTACGACGTCAGTTCCAACTGGTCCAACTGGCAGTACGTCGCTGGAGTGGGTAACGATCCACGTGGCGAGGCACGCATCTTCAACCCAGTCAAGCAAGCATTCGACTATGACAAGCAGGGCGAGTACGTGAAGGCTTGGGTACCTGAGACCCGTCAGTTGGAGAAGCTTGAAAACGCCTTCCAGTTATGGACGACATCCAAGGAGGAGCTCCAGAAGCTGGGTCTGCAAGAAAACGAAATGGTTAAGGACCCCGTCAAAAGGATAAACTTTTCGGTGGAGGGCAAGCCAAAGGGGTCTAGGAAGCCGTTCCAGCGCCGTCGAGGACGTGGTGGAGGTGGTGGTCCCGGCGGAGGCCGCGGCGGGCCTGGCGGCAATGGTCATCAGGGCAATGGCCATGCGGGCGGCGGTGGCCACCCCGGGGATTACGGCAACCACTCCCATTACAACCATGAACCATCCTCTCCGCAGACCATGCGCTCCCATGACAACGCCATGGGTTACCACGGTCAGGGTTACCCAGGATACAGCGGCCAGGGCTATCAAGTAAACGGCGAGTATCGCGGCGGCTACCGAAACGGGCGGGGCCGGGGTGGCGGAGGGGGCGGAGGTTATCGCGGAGGGCGTGGTGCCTATCAAGGAGGTGGTGGAGGCGAGTCCTACCCTGTCGCCAATGGGTACGGTTACCTCGCCATGTATCAAATGAGACGTACTTGTACGACGACGAATCCTGTGTACCATCGTGATCTCGATGTGGAAGATTTCTTTCC